TCACAGGCAGCCCTGGCAAGCAGGAGAGCCAGCCCACGGCTTACATGCCCTTCACACAGAAGGTGCCAGGAAGAGCGACATCTTGCAATGCAATGGCTCATCCCAATTGCCTCTTCAGCTGCCGCCGCCAGAGCTCATTAACCAGCAGCTGTCGGCCAAGGACCCAGCCCAGCTTCCGCTGGGAGCCTCAGACGGACCCCCTAGGCTCACAACAGTGACTGAGCACAAGAGGAAGGCAGGGAGAGGCACGTCCTCACCCCAAGTGGTAGCTTAATACTTACTGTTGAAATAGCCACGGCTGTAGGCGAACCAGACGCCGAAGGCGATCAGCGCCAGCACAATCACCAGCACGACCACAGCCGCCACAATGCCGCCCACGTTGACTTCAGCTGGGTGAGAGAAGGGTGTCAGTGTGGCATGCGGCGATCTAATGCGCACAGGCCCCCCTGCAAGCCACAGGATCCCAAATGCTCTCATATCTGCAACATGGGAGAACTGCACCAGCGGACGATTTAGTCTGTCTAGGTGCAATAACCGGGGAGATTCCTTCAAGGGCCCATCACCCTGCCCCAATTGCCTTTAATGGATTTAAGTTGGCAGGAGTGAGGAGCCTGCTCCAGGGACCCACCAGCTCCCCAGCCAGCACGATATGGGTCACAGACAGAGCAGCTCTGGGCTAGTTAACTCAAGGGAGGTTTCTATCATTTTAACCCTGCTGCTGTCCCACTGACAGATCTGAGAGACTCGCTTCATGCTCCGGCAGCTCCCAGCCTGCTCCACTTCCATTTCTTCCGGCCTATCGGTCACCAGCCCCGGCCACACAACTGAAGTCAGAGTTTGGTCCTAGCTATTGCCATCTATCAGGAAGATCGACGTCTGAGAACAGCAACGTTCCATGACCAGCTTGGCCACACCTATCCCCAGACCGAGTCTCTCCCAATCCCAGAGGGCACTAGCCTGGGGCGGGAGCCTCCTCTGGGGCCTGGCTCGGTGGGACATGCCAAGAGCCACTTGTTGGCCCTCAGGAAAATCCAAAGCTGGATCACTTAGCATGGCAGCCCAACTGGCTCCCGCGGGCTCTCCCCACCCCTCCAGCAAAGCATATGCCCATTTTCCTGTCCAGGCACTTGGGCACCGTCCTGTTTTCAATCTCTTCCAGCCAGCGCAAGGAGGAGCTACCAGAGGCCAGGGATGGAGGTGACAGCACTGGCCACTGTCAGTCTGCAAGTGACTTTCAAAGAGCCCAGTACAGATGTGCGTATGCCCCCACCCACATGCAAACTCTGCAAGCCACCGGTTCCTTACTGGCTTCCAGATGGATGGCTTCCGATTTCTGAGCCGCCCCGATGCCGTTCTTAGCCTCACAATAATAATCGCCAGTGTCGAAGCTGGTGACAGGCTCAATCGTCTGGAGAGGGAAAGAAAGCGTGAGGCACGAACGCCCCATGTATCAGTCAGCATCCTCCCACCCCTGCCTGCCCAGCACGTACCAGCACTCCTGTCTTGGGGTCAATCGTGTAGGAGGAGTTCTTGAAGTTTGGACTCAACTTGGGATTGGAAGGCATCAGGATGTTGTTCCTGTACCACTCGAAGGTAGGGGGTGGAGAGCCATCTGTTTCCATGCATGTCAGCACAGCTTTGTTGCCGATGGTCACGGCGGTGGGCACCTTGGCAACAGGTGTGGAGGGAGGCACTACCAACGGAGAAGGCAGAGAGGCACATGTTACAGGTGACCATCCAGAGCTTGGGATCCACCCTGCCCTAAATACACTCCAGAAATAGTCATTTGCAACGTCGCGCTTACTAAGCCATGACTGTGCAGATCAGACTAGAGGGCCTGCTCAGCGACACGACGGCAAACCAACGGCCAGATCATCGTAAGGGATGTAAATGGTAAGCAGCGCCCACATCCAGCTGGATAGTTCATGAGACAGACCAAGTCAACGGCTGGGCCCTCTTCCATTGGCAAGGCTTTCCTGCGCCACAGCTGATCTGTGACGTTCCAAGTCTTGGCCTGTGTGACTGTCACTCCCCGATCACACCCCTCTAATTGCGCAGGGACAGGAGAGAACAGTAGTTTCTCCCTGACCCTTAGATCCTGTGCTGCCCTGAAGCTTCATTACACTCATGTCAGCACAACTGCAACGATCACTGGACCTTTCTTTAAAATCCACCCAGATTGCGTGGGACACATTCCACAGAGAGCAGCATTTCCCCATGTGGGTTCTGAACTAGCGACATTTAATTCAGTAAAAGATTAATGGCACTGACTGGGCCAGATCTTCCACTGCCCTGCGTGGCCATTTACACCACTGGTGCACACAACTGTAAGAGGAGCAGAAGAAGGTAAATGAGGTTCATGGCATTCAACATAAGTGGCAAGTGTCTGTGGGGAGGAGCAACACTGTGTGGAAATCAATGCTCTGACACCGCGCCCTGCTGCTGGCAGAAGCCATCTTGGCTGGCAGGGGAAACATACAAGGCTGGCTGTGGGAGGGAGTCAACCTCCTCATTTTGACAGAGCAGCTTGTCAACACAAAATGTCGGACCGCATCTGCTGCGAACCAGAAAGAAGGAAACAGTTTAGTCTGAAACCAGGCCCCCTTTTGGGAACTGATTTTGCAAGGTGCTAGACTGACAACAGTTGTGAATGGTACAGCCACAGAGCAAGCACGGTAACAGCAGAGCCATCTTCCTCCCCAGTCTTTGCTGGGGCCTCAGCCAAACCACAAAGGGACCATTTTGGGGGTGAGAATGGTGAGTCTCCATTGGTCTGCGCAGACAACATACCCAAGGTTCAGACTGGTGCCTCCCTGAAGGGGCCTCTGTTTAAATGTCATTAGGAGGTCATGCAACTTCAGCATGGACCTGCCCACATACCCCTCAATCAGCAGCAGGGGAACAGTTGAAGTGTCAGAATCCTGAACACGTTAAGGAAATAACAGTGCCCTTGTACAGCTCTGATTGTTTCTTTATTGACACATATCGGGCCACGTATTGACCTGTGGGAGGCATCCCTTGATAACGGGCTGTGTTTAACATTCCTGACGATGCAGAGCCATGGGGAGTCTTTGGAAACCTTTGCATAATCTGGGCATTTGGCTTTCCCCAGCCACCTGCTGCCCCGCTTCAAACCTGGTTAGCTGATCTGATTACAGAATACTTGCCATTGCCCAAAGCAGCCTTATTCCACGGTATTGACCTGTGGGAGGCATCCCTTGATAACGGGCTGTGTTTAACATTCCTGACGATGCAGAGCCATGGGGAGTCTTTGGAAACCTTTGCATAATCTGGGCATTTGGCTTTCCCCAGCCACCTGCTGCCCCGCTTCAAACCTGGTTAGCTGATCTGATTACAGAATACTTGCCATTGCCCAAAGCAGCCTTATTCCACG